GTATATTTCGTAAAATATCATAAAATATTAAAAATAATAATATTTATTCTATAAATACATTTATATCATAAATTTCAGTCTATTTCTGAAAGGATACTTACACATAAGTAAACAATTATCGATGAATTTGCCAAATATTGAACCACTCCCAGAAGAAATATTAAGTGCAACAGATAGTTTCCATTATACAACACCGAAAAGTTCGCAATATTTTCAAATTGTACGTAAATATAATAATACATTTATTAATAAAATGTTGTTTGTAAAATTGTAATCATTAATAATATATTTTAGGCACCTGAAAATCAACCTCACACTGATTTAATAGGACGTACAATCGTTCATACAAGTGCATATAAACAAGCAACAGGTGAAGCAATTTATTGCGATGATATGCCTTCAATTGAAGGTGAATTATATTTAAGTCTTGTATTGTCGACAAGATCACATGCAAAAATTTTGAAAATTGATCCATCAAAAGCTCTTGAAATGGAAGGAGTTGAAGCATTTTATTCAGCTAAAGATATTCCTGATGATAGACGATGGGTTGGACCTATTATTTATGATGATGAAATATTTAAATCTGATAAGGTAATTTTAAATGAAAATAAATATAATATAACGCGTTGCTGTGGTTCACAATCAGTCCGATACACACGTCTTTAAGTCAACGAATTAGCTTATACCGATTATAAATTGAGATATAAACTATCCTATCTTTCAAATTGAATGAAACTGCACACAGTGTGCAAAATTTTATTCAAATCGGTTCAGTAGTTTAGGAGTCCATTGCAGACAAACAACGTGACACGTAATTTATATATATATTAAGATGTAAATACATGCTTGATTATTTTCTAGGTCACAAGTCAAGGACAAGTTATAGGTGCAATTGTTGCAATTGACAAAGAAACTGCACAAAAAGCTGCAAGAAGTGTTGTTGTCGAATACGAAGATATTGAACCCTTAATTGTATCCATTGAAGTAATGAAATATTTTGTGTATATTTGAATTTATGTAAATGTATCAACTAAGTTGTCAAATGTTTTTTCAATGTTTATATTTTTGTAGGAAGCTATTAAACATAATTCATTCTTCACTAACTTTACAAAACGTATTATCAGAGGAGACGCAGAAAAAGCTTTTGCAGAAACGGATCATATAATAGAAGGTGAAATACATACAGGTGGACAGGAACATTTTTATTTAGAAACAAATGCAGTTATCGTTGTACCAAACGAAGAAGATGAACTTGAGATATTTAGTGCAACTCAACATCCTTCAGAAATACAAAAGCTTACTGCTCATGCCTTAAACATTCATAGCAATAGAATTAGTGTTCGTGTCAAGCGATTGGGAGGTGGTTTTGGAGGAAAAGAATCTCGTCCTTATATGCTTGTTATACCAGCTGCATTAGCTGCATATAAGTATGAATATAATTCAAAGATTTTTATAATTAACAATCAAATTTGTGTGAGTTAAATTCAACTGTGTATTCAATTTTTTTGTAGATTGCGCAAACCTGTGCGTTGCGTGTTAGATAGAGATGAAGATATGATAATGATGGGAACACGACACCCATATCATTTCAAATATAAAATTGGATTTAAAAAAAATGGTTTGATAGATGTCGTAGAAATACGTATATACAGTAATGCAGGATATTCTGCTGACCTTTCTCCATCGGTAAATAATTCATTATTAAATAAATAAAATAATACGTGAATATTTTATATAATAATTAGGGGTCCGCGATACACACGTCTTTAAATCAACGAATTACCTTATACCGCCATCTGCTAGAATCTTATCGAATTAACAGAGATAATCATGACTCTTTGTTAATAAACAAATAATATTGCGATTATAAATTGAGATATAAACTATCCTATCTTTCAAGTTGGATGAAATTGCACACAGTGTGTAAAATTTGATTAAAATCGGTTCAGTAGTTTAGGAGTCCATTGCGGACAAACAACGTGACACATAATTTATTTATATTAAGAAGAAGAAGAAGAAGAAGAAGATAAATAACATTTGTTTCTTTTAATTTTAGATATTAGAACGTACAATATTCCATTTTGATAATTCCTATAGGATACCAGTGGTACATGCTTATGGTTATTTATGTAAAACAAATTTACCTTCGAATACAGCTTTCCGTGGTTTTGGTGGTCCACAAGCTATGTTTGCTGCAGAAAATATGATCAGACATATTGCTGAATTTTTAAATGAAGACGTTCTAAAGGTATTATTTTTAATATTTAGCATAGTAATTTAATCTTTGGTTTAGTTTAAACAAATTCATTCGTTTTTTATAGATAGCAGAATTAAATATGTACAAAGAGGGTGATGTAACTCATTACAATCAACCACTTCTTCATTGTACCATAGGTCGTTGCTGGAAACAATGTTTAAGTTCTTCTAATTATTATGAACGAGCAGCTGCAGTTCAAGAATTTAATAAGTATGTTTTGGATTGTCTGATTTTGGTCAAATATGCATCGTTTAGTTCATTAATTTATTACCATTGCAACAAATACTTGATTTGTTGCCAATACTTTTTCTCCAACCTAATATTTGATTATATTTTGTCGTGTGTTATTAATTTGGTTACATTTCATTTATATTTCAGACATCACAGGTATAAGAAGAAAGGAATAGCAGTTGTACCAGTGAAATTTGGAATTTCATTTACTACTTTATTCTTAAATCAAGGTGGTGCACTCGTTCATATATATACAGATGGTTCAGTTTTAGTTAGTCATGGTGGAATTGAAATGGGACAAGGTTTACATACGAAAATGACTCAAGTATGTTATACAATCAAAAATTTCGAATATTATTCAATTAAAGTTTATCAATAATATAATCTTATTATATAAAATACATTAAATATTAGGTCGCCAGCAGAGTATTAAAAGTAAATCCAGATAAAATCCATATTGTTGAAACTGCTACAGATAAAGTACCAAATACTTCAGCTACTGCTGCCAGTTGTGGATCTGATTTAAATGGCAATGCTGTTATGGTATTTACATTGATAATTAATAATACATAGTAATATATATATATATATATTCTTTTAATGTATTTTATAATTAATTACATATTATATTATATTTTTTAGAATGCATGCAATGAGATTATGAAACGATTAAAACCTATTATCGATAGTAATCCAAATGGCACTTGGGAAGATTGGATAAAGAAGGCTTATTTAAGTAGAATTAGTCTTTCGGCAACTGGATTCTATCAAACTCCAAATATTGGATATTCTTTTGAAACTAATTCAGGAAATCCCTATAATTACTTTACTTATGGCGTTGCTTGTACAGAAGTAATGATCGATTGTCTTACTGGTGATCATCAAGTACGTATCTTATAAACATTATATCAATTTTTCAGATTAATTTGAAAATATATTATACAATTAATATTTTTCAAAATGTATATATCAAAACTAATTGAGAGATCATATATCTATCAAAATAGATACTTAGGACAGATATAGTGATGGATGTTGGGGATAGTTTAAATCCCGCTATTGACATTGGTCAAATTGAAGGTGCATTCACACAAGGTTACGGATTATTTGTCTTAGAAGAATTAATGTATTCTCCAACTGGATTTCTTTATAGTAGAGGACCTGGTGCATACAAATTACCAGGGTTTGCTGATATACCACAAGAATTTAATGTTTCGTTATTAAAAGGAGCACCTAATCCTCGAACCGTTTATTCTTCAAAAGTATGTAATAAGTAATGAATATTTTCATTTCATTTTCATATGTTATACTTAAAATAATATTTTGTTTACAGGCTATTGGAGAACCACCATTGTTTTTGGCATCATCTGTTTTCTTTGCTATTAAAGAAGCTATTAAATCTGCTCGTAAAGATGTTAATATTACAGGTCATTTCAGATTAGATTCACCTGCAACAGCAGCACGCATTCGTACAGCATGCGTTGATAATATTATAATGAAGGTAATTTCATGACAATGATATGTTCCTTTTGTTTTACTTATCTCCTATACATATTTCAATGATATTCTTTTACCTTACAGATTCCGGAAATTGATTTGAGTAAACAATGGAATAAAATTCCTTAAAAATTATATATATATATATATAAAATTTGTTAATATATTTTTATATCTAATAATACATATTTACACCATACGTCATAATGTAATATAAAGTACGGTGTTTATTTTAATTTCAGCTTTTGTTTTAAGTGCATACGTTAATTCAAACAATTGTTTTTCTTTTAATTACTTAATATCTTTGTTATATTTTTAACCAGACATCTAAAATAAAAATATATATTTATATATATAGAGAAAAAGAAAAAAAGGTGCATTGGTGGTATTAAAAAAAAAAAAAAGAAGTAATTTTTAGAATGTATCTAACATCATTGATTTATAATATAACTTTTGAACATTATAAAAGTTGTGTAATGTAAAAAGGTACACCAGTCTTAACGGTATTTTGTCATACTAAAGAAATACATTTCTTAAATCTAAGATATTTGTTTAATTAAAAATTGTTAAGTCTGATGTTTAACAATATGAATCTTACATCTAATTACATAACTCATTATTTTACTAGAATTACAGGATGGTTTACTCTCCAATGAATTTATTCATGATTTTTAATCAAGTTTGGAAAATATGTGATGTATTTTTGTATGTATATATATATATAGGTGATTTTTAGATGATGATTTCTTTCATGCAAATATATACAAATATATCTGCTATTAATTTAAATGTCATTGTTTCTTTTTTGTTCTTTTCTTTTTTTGAAAATTATATTTCTAAATTATTTATTGCAAATGGCAATAAAATATTGAATATATAACGTAAGAAGATTATCTTGTAATTATTATAAAAAGATTAACGTGATTAATGCATGCTACAAATATATTAAATACTAATTATAATTAATTATATATATATATATATATTTTTTTTTTTAATTAGAAAATAATAAACATCATCACATTTGATTCGTACAAATATTTCAATTAAATTGCATCATTTATTTATGATTTATCTTCTAAAGTTTTAATCTCATTAATAATCTCATTTTTTCTTCGCATCTTTTCTAAAATTTCTTTTTCTGGATTTTTTAATAAACCACTTTTTATTTTTTCTTCCAACGATTCAATTTCCCTTATCTTCTTACGAAGACCTTTTATTCTTTTTTCTGTATCGACAACTGTTGTTTGTTGTTGTTGTTGTTGTTGATCCGTCTTCTTATTTACCTCATTACTCAATGCTACTACCACTTTATTTTCAACTTTAGCTTGTGATATAGTAGTTTTGGATAATTCTTCTATTATTATTTCAGTATTTTTATTTTTACTTTTCCTCTTTTTCTTTTTATTTTCTGGCTTTGGTTGTACACTTGCTGCACTTTTAGCTGCTTTCGCTGCTAAAGCTTCTTGTTTTGCTTTGTGTTGTGCTATGAACTCTGGACTTGCTCCAACAGGATAAATTGGTTTGTTTTTTATAAATTGTTTACCCTTACTTTCATATCTAGAACAAAATACAAAATATTGAGTATGAATTTGAAAAATATGAATCTGAGTAGTTTGTAGAAAAATTGTATCAAATGCCAAGCAACGATCACACATATCAATTACAAATTGTATTTCAATAACATGGCACTTTTTGTTAATAAATTTAAACAGTTTAGTATTGAAATGATTTAACAACGTACAAGGGTACTTCTTCTTGTGGTATGTATCCATCTTTTACACGTCGTGGTTTACGCCATGTACCATCTGGACGTTGACTAGCAGGAATGAATGTTCCGCCTACAAGATAAATGAAAATACAATGTTTAGTATAATCATAATTGTAATTAAATGAATGGAAAGATAATGTTATTATTCTAAATTTTTTCTTTTAATTTTACTTGAAAGTATTAAAATTAATTGAAATAAAAATTATGAAAGATTTCATACATAATATAAAAAATATTCTGAAAAGTTTATAAAAGTGTAATCAAAATATTTGAGGTTAAGAGCAACAAGTTTTGTGGATGAAAAAAGAAAAAGAAACAAAAAGTAAAATTATAGGGAAAAAAAAGAATAGAAGAAAATTTTGAAGGTTACGAGTAAGAAGCTTAACAATATATAATTGACAAATATCATAATAATTTATAAAAAAAATAGTAGAATTACCTTGTTCATCTTTTATATAATTAGACGCCATATTCCACGCGACTCTCTGATAGTATGTTGAGACTATTTTTATTATAATTCTAAAAACTTCCTACTACCCTTGTGTCATGATACAACTGTACTTATTATAACAATCGTATTTGTAGTATCCAACCGAGGCTTTTCTGAGAATTCGTCTATCAATGTTATTTTCATCAAATTCTCTCTTTATAGGTCCGAAATATTTTACGATATATATATATATATATGTATATGTATACATATACATATATATATATATATAGATAGTGATAGTAAAATATTTAATTAAAATATCCTATAGTAACATATATATATATATAACCTGATAATTTGTGATAAAATAACCTAATTATCATTAATTGATAATAATGATATATTTATAAAAAAACATACATATATATACATATTTATTTTTATATGTATATATATATGTGTGTTATGTATTTAAAGTAATGAACTATATATATTTGAAATATGGTGGTAATTTTCTTCCCTTTATCTCGAATGTTAGTAATCGATTATAAGAATTTTTAATAACTAATATCGATTATCTCGATTTCCCATCTTTGTTTAGAAGAATGACATGTCCTATTGATTTAGTTTTATTTTTTAATTGTGTGATTAATTATCAAGAAAAAATTCAAATGATTTATATATATATGAATATTAGAAAAAATTAGGTATTGTAATTTATTAATTATTTAATATATAATTGAACATATTGAAATAATGTATACAACCTAACCTATATTTTGATGGATGTGACAGGTACATATAAGTAACTTGATGATTTATATATATATATGAATATTAGAAAAATTTAGGTATTGTAATTTATTAATTATTTAATATATAATTGAACATATAGAGAAATAATTTATACAACCTAACCTATATTTTGATGCATTTGACAGGAACATATAAGTAACTTGATGATTTATATATATGAATATTAGAAAAAATTAGGTATTGCAATTTATTAATTATTTAATATATAATTGAACATTGAAATAATTTATACAACCTAACCTATATTTTGATGTATTTGACAGGTACATATAAATAACCTGACATATATTTAGATTGATAAAGGAAAGTGAATTAAAATGATTAGGATACAAATAAATATTTTAAATAATATAGTTTATTATAAAATGGTCATTTTTATTTCATTTAATTTATAAAATTATTTTCTTTTTGATTTATGTCTTTTTATTGAATCTAAAACAATGTCTACGATTGAAAGATTTTCACCCAAAGTATATGGTGAATGTTTGAAAATTTGATTTAATTTTTCTTTCGATACTTCATGTAAAATACTATGAATTTTTTCTAAATGAAGATCTACTTGATTAGCGTACAGAGGACCATTACTTTCATATATCAATAAATTAGGTTTTTGAGATTCGATTAAACGATTGAAATAACGTGCTATGTTAATTTCACCCCTTAACTCAAACATATTAGATGATTGCATAATTGGATCAATGCCGATATTTTTCCAAATTAATATTATATCTATAAGACTATCCTTATCTGTATTTTGATAATTTAAACAGAAATCTTGCAAGCATTTAGGTAAATCCATTACAGAGGAATGCGTGTAAGTCGATACGGTTACTTTCAAGTATGGTTTAGCTAAATCTAAAATCTTTTCTATTGAATATATAGGATACAACGGATCGCAAAAAATAATAAGTTTCTGTTTTTCGATCCTTGTAGTATTTTGTATTATTTGCGATACATGGCATTGACTTTGTTCGGTTTTTATTTTTGGATTATCCACATCCAATGGTTTTTCTGTCTTTATCTTCGTTGATTTCATTTGAGGACTATCTCTGTCAACATAATTTGTTTCAACTGTATAGGAAGTAATTTTTAATTTTGTAAATATAATAAATATTTCTTTTTTATCAATTTAGTTTAAATTTATCTAACGATATCAGAATGTATTACAATATATATATTTATATATAATAAATTTATAAAATATTTAAAAATGATATTTACTTAGATAATCGACACAACGGATTATTGTACACCATTTCCAAATCAATTTTATGTCCAACAAGGTCACGTATATTATTTAAACCATATTTAATCATCGTGGGCCTAATAAATTATTCATATCAATTAAATAAATCATTTCTTGATTTGTATTTTATATTTAGTATTGTGTTTCTAGTTAAATATAATATTATATGTTGTACATACCTTTCTAATGACAAACCCCATGCAATAACATTAACACCTTCTGGTAAACCCATAGGTAATAACATTTCTGGTCTAAACATTCCACTATTACCAATTTCAATCCATTTCTTTAAACCATTATGATAACAGAATATTTCCATACTTGGTTCCGTATATGGATTGTATGCTGGTTTGAATTTAAGTTCGGTGATGCCAAGTTTTTTAAAGAATTCATATAACATACCAATCAAATGACCAAGAGTTAGATTGTAATTGGCTATTACACCTTCAATTTGATGAAACTCGGCAAGATGAGTTGCATCCAAAGTTTCATTTCGAAATACACGATCAATACTAAAGTATTTTACGGGTTTAAACTCTCCCTACAATAAAATAAAAGAAAAAATCATTATAATGTATAATATGTTTGTAATAAATTAGCTATTAATATTGGAAACACACCTCTTGCATAAGATTATACAGCATACGTGCACTGACTGCAGTTGTATGAGTACGAAGTAAATTCTTTTGAGCTTCCTTTAATTTCCAATCATAACAGTAACCTTGTGATCCATAACCACCTTCGCTATGAACCTTTTTAACTTTTTCCAAATACTCAGGAGGAAAAGAATCGCTGTGACTTGGTTCTATGTTAAGAAACAATTAATCTTTCAAAGCCAATGATTATATGTTTTAATGTAAACATAAAAATGAATATTGTCGAAATAGATAAGTACTTGAAATAAAGAATGTATCATGTGCATCTCGTGCAGGATGTTGTTGTGGTTGAAACAAAGCATCAAAATTCCAAAATGAACTCTCCACGTAATTATTCGTAGGCATCTCTGTAAATCTATCAAAAATGTAATGTCAAGTTACAATTTCTTTGTTGATTTTTATAACATATACTTTGTAAAGACATATTTACTATTATAATTACCCCATTTCCAAAAATATCTTTTTAAATTCACTTTTGACTTTGAGCAATGGATGCAAATGTCCAACTTCTAGGAGCGTTCCACGAGCTTCAAAATTATACGGTTTAAATTTCTTATCTTTCCATGCACCATTAGCTATTAATTCAGCAGTCAAATCTGTTTCTAATTTTTCAGTTTGTACAGAAAATTTAGTTCCTTTCTTGAGTAGTATGTTTTTTACAATTCTTTTATAAACAAAGAAAGATTTTTATAGAAACTGTAAGATGTAATAATTTTCAAATATTATTTGAAAGACTTACATTTCTTGTAGGAATTTTCTCTTCTTGTATTCTTTTTTAACATTATCCGGTATACTGTCAAGATTTTTTAAATGCACTTGTACAGTATCCGTGATAGATGGTACGGCTTTCCTAACAATTGTTGTATCATTAGATTTGTCAAGTTTAATCCAACCAGCAGCAAGTGCTTTGGAAAAACCAATTTTTGCAAAAGGAACAGATGAATCGATATCAGATTTAGATATTCCATCATTAGGCACTGCATTATAAACTGCAGCTTCATGACTACCATTTTTTAACACATGTTGACCCTCCGCTGTTAGTTCCCACTTTTGTTTACTGATTATCGTTGTCTCAATAAACTGTCAAAAAAAAAACAAATATATCATTTGAACACGTTTTTTACTTAATGTTAAATAAACATATTTAAATAATAGATAAATTTTACATCTCCAAGTGCTTCCAAGCTTTTAATTGCTCCAACTATCTTTTGATGATCTTCATTAAAAATCTCTGCTAAATCTAAAGAATTAACTTCATCATTTTCAGATAAATATTTTAATATATTATCAGCCATTTCTTTTGCCATTTTTTTTAAATAATATTAACTATTTAAATAATTTGTCACGTCACACGATTTTTAAGTACTACTTGTACGAATTATTAACATCATACATGTGAGTTTTAATTGATTTTCTTAAAACCAGAGGGAGCTAGTTATGCTCAGATAGAAAACATACATATATGTATCAGTGAAGCCAGATCGTAGAACATTTCTACCCCTTCTCTCGAGCCCAGCACGCCTCGCACACAACGAAATGTTACGTGTCGGTGTGTCGGAAAACCGAAAGAAGCCGAGGGAAGCCGAGGTTGGCTGCGCGACAGAGGAGAAATAATACCCCCACCATGCGCCGCAGAGAAATACATGGACACAAACACATTTGAGCCGTTCAGTGTTCGCGCAGTTAACCTCGGCTTCCCTCGGCTTCTTTCGGTTTCCCGACACACCGATACGTAACATTTCGTTGTGCGAGGCGTGCTGGGCTCGAGAGAAGGGGTAGAAATGTTCTGCGATCTGGCTTCACTTATATGTACATATAAGTTAGGTTATCTATCATGCAGTAACGTGTGTAAGAGTGTTTCAAATTCTAACCTATAAAGTAATATATATTTGTAATTGATAATTATGAGAAATTAATAACAATGAATAAAATGTTGAAATCAATAAAATTTGGAAAGAATGCTTTCCTGAAAATTAGAAATTCAAGAACATCGAGAAGATTATTTTTAACAGAAGCATATCAGTGTCAAGATGACTGGAATCGTAGGTTAGAATCACCTATATTACAAAAATTAAAATCGTCAGATTTTTATTTGGAATTGGAATCTAAATATAATAATGTTGGTAAATTTAGTCCACTTGACGTCGACATATTTGCTAATATTGTTAGTGAAAAATCTGAAGGAAATGAACTTATGGATGTGCTTTACAAATTAAGATTGTCAGCTGAAGCTTGTAATATTTTTGACTCAACACATTATGCTGTCATACGTTTCTTTTTAAAACATAATAATGTCGATGATCTTTTTGAAGTATTAAATGACAGATTAAATTATGGTATTTTTCCTGATCATTATTGTTACAATATACTCATGGATAAATTCATAAAAGATAAAGATTTTGCATCAGCAGCTAAAGTAGCAGGATTGTTAATGCTTCAAGAAGATTCCGATCATCCATTATGCAATGCATTGTCAGTATACTCTTGTCATAAATATTTAGAAAATCCTAGTGATTGGAAAATACCTGAAGTTAAGGAAGATGATACTACGGAAGAAATTAAAATACGTGTACCATATATAAGAAATCCATATTTCGATGATCATTTTGATTTGGTTGATCCATTGAAAATTGTTGGTAAAACTTTAGTATTTCAAGGTAAACAAATGAATAATTCATTAGGAAGAACTTGTCAATTAAGAGGAATGATTCTTCATCAAAAATATACTCAAGCAAAAGAACTTGTTAACAAATGGTTAAACAAAATCAAAGAAGATATTGTTCACGAAGAAGTATTTGATTTGATTCAAAAAGACAATGCAAATATTCCTGAAGATCAAATAACAGAAGAATTGAAAGATTTACAAATTGTTTTGGATACATTAAAAAATAATAATTTACATAAAGAAAATCTAATTGAAAGGATAGAAAATGAAATTAAGTCTGCAGTTGATCAATGCACAGCAACAGATATATCTGAACAAAAAAAGGTAATATATATTATAAATGTATTATTTTATTATCATTAAAATATTTGTCGTATAATTCAATCAATAAATAGATAATTCTTTCATCAATATTTTATATTTTAATTGTAGATCTTCCTCGAATGGGAAAAAATTAGAGAAGAAACATTGAAAAATCAACAGATGTTAATGGACAAACAATTACGATTAGCAAACATACAGAAGATTAAAGAAGAATTAAGAAAGAAGGAAAGATTATTGACATTCTTTGAAAATGAGGAACAGATAGAATTGGAAATTGAGAAAAAGCAACAAGTTGTAAAAGAGGAAGATGAGAAATTAGCTAAGAGGCCTAAAACTTTAAAGAAATTAAGCAAATTAGTAGAAGAAGCATCTTATGTACCACCAACTATTTAACATTTGCAATATCGTTGAGTTTTACATGAAAATAAAATAAATATTATGTAATATAAATGCAGTAGAGAAAAAGAGAGAGATAGAGAGAGAGAGAGAGATCATAAAAATGAAATGTTGAACTATATAAACGTAGATGATATACTTTTTAATAATATTTAATCAACAAATCATTTTTTTTTTTTGTAACATTTTATAGTACAAAGAAATTGCATAAAAAAATTGTTACGATGATCATAAGTAACATTTCATTTTGTACATGCTCATTTAAGAACAATATTTTGTTTCTTTAAGTAGAGTTATTCGAATGAACCATTTCTTTTTTTTTTTGTTGTTGTTTTGTTTCAAACCGTACACATTCTTTTTCAAGGAATACGAAAGCTTGCTTATATATTATTGAATATTTTATTATACTAAAAAAAGATTAGGCTCCGTAACAAGGATATTTTTAGAGCACTTGTGCATACGTGTTTTGTTTTTATTCCATTGTATATTTGAGACTTGAAAGCTGTATAGTTTTTAATTTATCAAGTGCTCCAGACTGAGGCACATTTTTTTACAGCATCCTTTTACAATTAAATACATCCATTAAATAACACTAAAGTTATTAAAATTGTATACAAGGCTTTTACATAACTATAAAAGTATTTGTCCATATTTAGTCTTGTATTTAATGAATAATATAATATTCACTCGAATATTCTGTAAAAGATATTTTTTCATGTTAATATCAAATACAAGATATCTTCATGATTAATATTTGATAGTCAACAAATCTTACTTTGTTATAGTATTTTTATAATGATTATGAGAGTGTGCTATAATATATTATCGCATTTATAATTTGATCATGAATTTCGATTTTGAAGTTGTGCAGTTAACGCAGCAGTTTCTTGTTTCATTTGTTTTAAATCAGCAGTTATTCTTTCTAGATTTGCACCAACATTCTTAGCAGATTCCGTGTCGATCTGTTGAATTAAAAAACAAAATATTCATTAGAGATAAAACATTGGGGTAGATTTTAATGACAATATGTTACCTGTTCTTCCAAATCTCTTATTTCACGTATTGTAGCACCTGTTTCTTCTACCAAACTAACCAATTCACTACAATCAGAATGTAATGTTGCCAATAATTTGTATGCTTTTCTCGAGGCTTCATTTGTCCTTGCATCTCTAAATATTAATTCATCCACTACCGTAAATGATCTTTCTAAACGACCTGTAAGCGTGTTAATTTCTTTTTGAATTTCACGTGTATCCGCCAATACTTTATTAATCTCGTCTCTTTGTTTTCTAACATTGTTTATTATTTCTAAAATTCGTTGGGTATACGCAGATCTGTTTATTTCTTTAGGAAGTTTCTGTACTTCTACCACTAATTGCGAATACAATTGATCTTTGTTTCTGCATTCTTCTTCAAGTTCTTTTTCCTTTTCTTTCAGTAGTTTTATTTCATCCTGTTTCTTTTGACTTACACTCTAAATATTAAATACAAATTTTCATTGTTTTAAATTTATAATTAAATTGTTATAAATTATTGATGATTTATTAATACTTACAGCTTTTGTCGAATGTTTTTCTCTTTCTTCTCGATATTTTTGTATTAACGGCATTCTATGTTTTTCCCATTGATTTGCTAAATTTAATAATTTATCTGTAATACCTTCAATAACAGTTTCTAACTTTTCTATATTTTTTTCTCCATTTTCATATAATTCATAAGCTTTAGCTTTAATCTTTCTTTGTTCCTTGTTTATTTTTAATTCCTTTTCCTCGTTTTGATAAGTCAACGATGCTTGTGTTACTTGTACTGTTAATTTCTTTATTTCCTCTTGTAAACTATCTATATTGTGTTTAAAGTTTTCACATTCCTCTTTTATCTTTTCAACTTGCAAGTCTTGCATCTCTTCTTTCTTAGAAACGAGTTCTTGTTGTGGCACATCAGTTGTTGTTGTTGTAATCTTATCATTAGTGTTTGGAACATCTGGCTCATTCAATTGAGAATTCTAAATGCAAAGATGTTAATTAGAAAGTTTCATTTTGAAATTTACTTTATAATTTTACCTTTGATACTGTTGATTCTTTCAAAGTAACTCTGTTAAATGATTGATTGTGATTAGATACTTGTATGATTTTTTCTTGTTGAGCATTCAACCAATCGATATGTTCTTTGATATTCACCGATTGTGAATGCATTGTTTTTGCATTGTGTGAAAGAATAGAAGGTAAAAAACATTGTTGAGTTAGCATTTGATTAGGCACTGGTTGCATATAATGTAAATAGTAATCTTGATACTCTGTAACAAACAAAATGATTGAATGCAATTAATAATTTAATCAAAATTAAATAGTACAATTACCTTCTTCAGTATCGGATGTTGATACTTCTATATTTACAGATTTATAAGGTACATTTGCCCTTCCTCTGTTTCTGAATCCCTTTTTATGACAAAAGTGTGGTAACCATGGTATGGAAAAACTATGGGATATAACAGACGCTATAGATTTTTCCAACAAAGCAATTTCACTGGTTGGTTCGCTTAAAGTTTTATCACTTTCCTTGGGTAATTTTTCAATCAAAAACATTAAAACCCTCCTTAAATCATTTTCCGAACTGTAGAGAAATGTTTGATAACCGATATCACCTTTGTATCCAAGCTCCTAAATTTATGAATCCAGTATAAGTATAGATGACAAATATTTTATTTGCTGAAGAAACGGATATATATATATATATATATATATATATATATATATCAATTAAACAATCTTAAGTATACTGTAAAATAATTATACTATTTTTTATATCTCTTACCGTACATGCTTGTGCCAATGTTGCACCTAAACGAAAACGTGCTGCCATGTTCGGAGGCAATGTTGTATGCAATCCAAGACCTGGTCTTATTGCATCTAAACATTTTACAGTTGCTTCTACTACTGTTTCTGTATCAAAGCCACTTAAATTTGTTACTTCTTCTTTTATACCACTAAAAATAATTGTTATTTATACAATACAAATGAAATACAAGTTGACAGTATTATTTGTATCAAAATATTTTACAAAATGATCAAATTATTTAACACATATGTATTTAATGTATCTCAAAACAATGTTAACTACTGTATAATACATTCAGTTTTTTATTTTGAAATAACTTTTAACATACAGTAGTAGTAGTAGTAGTAGTAGTAGATAACATTGTAAACGTCAAGAAACAATGCATTGAAATTATTTATTATTGTCAATAAAATCAACGCCCACTTTCTGTCATAGAATAGTGACAGAAAGGATGTAAAATAATATGATCGTTATATTTAACTTACCAGCCTATTTGACGTAACGAGTGAATAATTATACTATCTACCTCCTCCATCATATGTACAAAAATGAAAATCTAAAACTTCTATCACTTAATGTTTTATTATACAGAATTCAATCTGATAATGATAAAAACCTAACCTTTCATGAAATATATATATATATATATGCATGTGTTTGTATAGCTACTATATATATATGTAGTTATATATATATAAAATATATATATATTTAGTTGGAAACAGACAGGTGGCGCGTGATACGTTTATAAAATGAATTTAATAAATATATATATTTATTTATAATTATTATATCTCAAGACATAAGAATGTTCATATTAAAATTGTAATTAATATTTATCAAATTATTTATGATAATTATATAGTATCTATATATAAAAAGAATGCAGAAAATGAGAGAGATAAATATAAATTCTTAAAAAGAGCATATTATCAATAACATGTGTTTAAGTGTTATCAATATATTTTTCAGCTTCTAAACGTAACTGTTATCTAAATGTCGAGTTCTATCTAAAATTATTTATATTTCACTTATCAAAAGAGAAATAAAATGATATTGAAAATATTTTATAAGCGTCTACAAATTTGAATTTAAATTTGGCAGAATTTTTTGATTGGAAGAGAGAACAACCAATGAGATCATAGGAAGGCAGGGATTGGTTGATGTCTGTAACCAATAAAGATTTGCTGTCAACTTCAGAGCTAAGGAGGTAAAGATCAATCTCTGGTGTTTTCCGAGCGAGAATAAGAGAGGGATAGAGATAACGGGAATATATCGAGTGAGAGTGGGAGAGAGAGAAAGAGGAGGTGTACGCTAACGAAGGATAGGCTAATAGGACGTGCTTTGGAGAGTGGTGGGGGATTGTGGCGTAACGCGTAGAGGGTGGTGGGAGAGGGAGAAATCTGTCGGACGGGTTAGAACGGTGCGTGCTCCCGTGCGGTTGCGTGCTTTTTCGTTAGCGTAAACATCAGCTGTGTGTTTGTGTGCATCTCTCTCTTTCTTTCTCTCTCTCTCTCTCTCTCTCTCTTTTTCTCTCTATCATTTTCGAGGCCACGAGTCTCTTGGAAGAAATGACAGGAGCAATCGAGAGAACGGTCGCGATGCGTTTATCGTTTTCGTGAGGGTGGAAGAAAAAGCTTACTCGTGATATTGTCAAGGAAGAAAATAAGGCGGGCCGGATATATTCTATCTGTCATCACCCGCCTCTTCAACTTTAACAATAAGGCTCGATCGGGATAATGAACGGAGGAAACCTAGGAATACCTCGAGGACCCGAACAACATCCGCAGAGATTCGCCGATTACTTCGTCATATGCGGTCTTGATAAAGATTCGGGTCTCGAACCAGACAAATATTTCGGTGAGTCAAAAAACTACCCTTTTTATTTTTATTGATATGATTTATTAATGCACGTTACATTATACTGTCCTTTTATTATCTTTATTTTTCTTTTATTATTATTATCATTACGCCGTTATATTTTTTTATATACTTGTTGTTTTGCAACTTTTGTTTTTTTTCTTTTTTTCTTTTTTATCGTTTTACCCTTCAATCGACGTTCAAAGTTCTTTCGAGATTCTTTGAACGATATACTTTTTTATTTATTTTTTTTTTCGGTGGTCTATCTATCGTTTTCTTTCTACTCCCCCTTTTTCCTATCTCTCTTTCTCTGTTAGAGAGAACTTCACTTTCTTGTACGTGTGTATATGTGTGTGTGTTCTCTCCTATAGCCCCTCGGAACAAAATCCGTCTCGCGAAAGTCGCGTGATTGCGCAACGCGCCGACGGAGTTCACCGTTTTAACTACAATTTATTATTATGTGATATAAAAATCTGTTTTTTTTCTTTTTTTTTTTTTATTTAAAATCACGCACGCAAATTGTTTACAATTTTATAATAATGAAAAGAAGCTTCCTTCTATTTTTGTTTTGTTTTTAAATTTTATCATATCTATCGTTGTTTATCGTTTTATTTTTCAACATAAAATCACACACTCGAATTCGTAATCGAATCGAATCGAATCGAGTCAAATCGAATTGTTGACAAACTTCGCGAGAAATCAAATGAAAAGATAATAAAAATCTACGAAATATTTTGAATAACAATCACGATATTATTAGCATGAACGGTATAATAAGAGACAAGATTTAACCACGTGAGATTGAAGGCCATAGTCGAATAAATTGATCCATTTGTTATTTTCGATTTAATCGTACGTTACAAGATGTTTACCACCAATCAGTCGACGATGATTTATCTCAGTCAAACGAGTTGAGATTACTTTTTATATTTAACAAGTGGATATAATAATCTTTTGAAATAATAATTAGAAAATTCGTTTCGATCTAATTCCGCGTTGAATTTCACGCAATATGTGTGCGTGCATGCGTGATGCGTGTGAATTTCGAAAGCGCGCCATTATTCGAATTAAATTATTTCAAATAATTGCGCGGTAAAAACAAATCAATGCAGAGACTTTAAATTATAAAATAAATCATATTTAAGCGTTAATTATAATTAATAAATTATTATATAAACATTTTCTAACGTAATCTTTTTATCTTTATATTTATTTTGTTTGTTTTTTTTTGGTTATGTATAAAACAAAACATATCATTGACTTATATAGTAATAATTTCGCGATAATTGTTTAGATGAGATAATATTTATTAAAAATATAGTGTTGCACGTAAAGAAAGATAACATACTGATTAAAGATTATAATGCAAAAATATCGATGAACTTGATCGATTAGATGATTATAAAGATTTCCGTCGTCTTACATTAGATTATTATATTCCTATGATTGAAGCTGGGTCATTTTGTCGTTGATATATGTATAAGTGCACGTGTGTGTTTGTATGCATGTTTGTGATAGTCTTATCGGTGATATTTCATAGTCTATCATTTCTATACGCTTCATTTAACCGATCGTTCATCAGACACGAACCAATTCACTTCCTCGTTATGAAAATAATAGATTACTTTAATAAATTCATCAGCTATTATTTTAAATAAATAAATTTTGTTTAAATACAAAAACCGCATGAACTTATTGTTCAAATATTACGAATATAAATTATAACACTTTCGATACCACTTCCATATTGTGTGTTCAATCACGAACAATACTTTAGTCAAAATAATTGTTATTTTTATATATATATATAAAAATATCAGTTATTTTGACTAAAGTATTGTTTGAAAGAAGACATTTTTTGTTGCATAAATAGTATCTTTAAAGTATAGAAAAACAAAACATGGCATTGTAAAATAAAAAAAAAAAGAAAGAAAGAAATGGTTTCTAGAAACAGTGTTTGAAAAAAATCGTGGTCTCGAATAGGTTAATTAGAATAAAATGTAGAAATGAGAGGTTGTTGGATAATTATCTGTGATAGTTGTGTTGAAAATGACGTCAGAGGATTTGAAATAATTTTATTCACGCGTCGTAAGATTTGTTTGGTATTATTCTCTCGTTGTTATCCACTCGATCCTCCCCCACCCCACCCCACCCCACCCACCCCGTTGTTGCTTGTTTTCATTATTCCCCGTGAAATTCTTTGATAGGAATAGAGGAACAATGAGTGCACAGGAAACAGCAACGGATCTTCCTGAGAAAGTATCTAACCTCTCCCCCTCTTTCCGTTGCTTCCACATTTGGGACATGAGTGCGCTTTTCTGGGAAGAGTGTACCGAAAAGGATCGTTTTACATAAAGCGGGACTATCGTTCTTCTCTTATTCTCATTTTTTATCCTACATGAGAGTAAATGTTCACGTTCAAAAAGTGATATCGAGTGTCTACCTCCTCTTTTCTTTTTCATTTTTTTTTTTCAAACGAAACTCATGGGAGAAAAATTAGTTCGTATTTCGCGCCATTGTCAATGCATTTATTCACGTGGGGTGGCAGATCGTTTTCATTGGTTTATTTGATTTATCGAATATTCGAATATAATCTCGAATCATTTCGATTGTATAATATTGGTAATGAAATTTGGGAGTATCATTTACATTTAGCAGAAGTTGTTTTAATAAATAAACGTGTGTGTGTGTGTGTGTGTGTGTGTGTGTCTACATCTTATCTTCTTTTTATTTTGTTATCAAACGAAATTCATGAGACAAAAATTAGTTCATATTTCGCGCCAATGTCAATGCATTTACTCACGTGGGATGGCAGATCGTTTTCATTGGTTTATTTGATTTATCGAATATTTGAATATAATCTCGAATTATTTCGATTGTATAATATTGGTAACGAAATTTGAGAGTATCATTTACATTTAGCAGAAGTTCTTTTAATAAATACACGTGCGTGAGTGTGTGTAAGTGTCACAATGGTTAGATAGTATCGTATAAAACTTATTTTAAATAATATTTGTAAGTAAAATTTTCAACCGTCTCACGATGACTTCTTTTTTGTTTTTTTTGTTGATTCAGTTACATATAGATTGAAATGTATTTATACATGAATTCGTGTTGATTCATTCAGAGCTCGGTCATCGAGCCGAACAAAGGTCATCTATTTTATATTCTCGATAAAATAGCAGCAGAAGAAGAAGAAGAAGAAGAAGAAGTAGAAGATATCGGTTTGTAATAAAATTTATAGTTTAACGTCGTGTTTATTTCATGACTTTTAACCTCTAAAAATTTTATTTAAATTTTAATCGAATATATATATATGTGTGTGTGTGTGTGTTAATTAATACGATATACAATTTTTGTAGATTTGTTTTATTAACAAAATACAATGGGAGTTAATACATAGATGCAATTTGATAAAACATATATTTTTTAATTTCCAAGATGTCGGTCATGTTAGCACTAGTACTACTATAGTAATAAGTACTACTATTATTATTATTATTATTATTATTATTTCTAAAATATAAATAAATAATAAAAAAATAAATAAATAATAAGTAAATAATAATAAATAAATAATAAAGAAATAATAATAAATAATAAATAAATAATAAAAATTTTAAAATATATTTTGTATTTTCCAAGATGTCTGCCATGTTACCCCTACTACTACTACTACTACTGCTACTGTTACTACTACTACTACTACTGTTATTTCTTTCTTACATTTAAATACATGTGAACGTGAATATAAAGTTAAAAGTAGCTCCCTTAGTTTTAGGAATCGTAGGCGTGAAAAATAGAATGTAGAAGGATTGGCGCCATCGTCATCTTTTCTTATCTTTTTTTCTTATTTTTTTCTTTTTCTTGCTCTTCTTCTTCTTCTTCTTCTTCTTCTTCTTCTCAGTTTTCTTTAGTCATCATTTTCGTTTATCTTCTTCCCTGTGTATTCTTTTTTCGACATCGTAAGAAGACGAGGTTTCTTGGTACCTACAGATGCGAACGAGTTTCTGAGATTCTAAAGATACTAACTCCGTACTTTCCAGCAGCCCTGGCAGATGTTCATACACACATACATACACACACACGTCATTTCCTTTTTCTCGTACGATGATGGTCCACAAAGGAAAGAGGAACGGACCCGGTGATCTTATTCATTGATGATGGAGGGACTCCAAAAAAGAAAGACTTTCTTTTCTGTTCAACTTCTTCCTCCTCTTCTTTTTCTTCTTCTTTTTATTTTATTTTTTTTTTTAGTTTCGGTATTCAAGAAAAGAATGGATTATTTACAAGATTTTTTTTTTTTATTACTTTAAAAGAAATAAAAATGTTTGAGAGGATATTCAACTTTGTTTTTGATAGTAACAGATGATACAAACATTTTATGAACTGTGTAATATTAATTGTAATAATAATAATTGTATTATATGTTTTGTAATGATATTTTATTTATTTATTTTTGATATATTCTTGATATATTATTATTTTAATTTATTAGTTTATTATATACTAATAGTATTTGTATAGATATGTAATTATTTATATTGTAATATTGTACTATATGTAATATTACTTATTTTTGGTATAGTATATTATGGATATATATATTAATTTTGGTATATTATATTAAATTATGATTATAAATCTACTGATTTGTAATATATAATACTTAATAGTATTTGTATTGATGTGTGTATAATAATTTTTATTATAATATTATAGTAGTGTATATGATATATATTAATATATTATATTACAATAATAATACATAACCTTATAATATAGTATAAATGATATTACATATTAATATATTATATGTCAAATATTTTATATGTAATATTACAATAGTAATATATAACATCATAATATAGTATAAATGATATTACATATTAATATATTATATAAAATATTTAATATATAATATTACAATATTAATATATAACATTATAATACAGTATAGGTGATATTACATATTAATATATTATATAACATATTTAATA